CTTAGTTCCATCAACGAAATCCTGCTGGGGACCCCACAGGAGCAGGGGGAGCTGGGGCAGGTGAGATCCAGCCCAGGGGCAGGGAAGGTGGGGAAGATCCTACCTGGGTGGAAGTTCCTTAAGGAGCCCAAAAAGAACTGAAAGGAATGAGGGCCAGCTTCCCTCCATGCTGGTAGCCACCAGAAGCTGCCATGCAGGGGAGCAAAGGACTCGGAGCTGAGTTTGGAAGGAAAAAGAGCAAGATGAACAGCTCAGGTGGATGGGCTGGCACCCACTACCACACTGACTGTTTTTTCTTTCGGGAACAGCGATTAATTACACTTCAGAGGCTTGTAACTTCCCACTAGCGGGTGGATAATTAACTGCGCTGCTAGCTCATTAACATCACACTTGTGAATTACAGCATACGCACAAGCCCTCGTCGCTAGCAAGCCACGTTTAGGCACTTTAGAGGCTATGGAGCCCACAGTGCTGTAGCCTCTGCTCACTTGAGACAGAGCAACTCACAGAACGAGCGCAGGCTCTGACTTACTGGGGCGGTCACAGGGGTGGCACGGTAGATATGGCTTACAAGGGTACCTCTGCCAGCTGCCAGCATGCAGGCAGCAAGCTAGGCTCCTCGGGCAAGACCGACTCAAAATCAGCAGATTTACAAAATAATAAACACACTTTGCTTCTGAGCGCTGAGCCTGCTTTGTCCTTGCACAGTGGGTTAGTGAAGCCAGTTGTAACCAAAAATGGAGGCACTCACTGCCCGGCAGCACCCCAGGTGCCAGGGCTTTGGGAAAAGCCACATGCTGGCCAACGCAACTGGGGTTGGTGATGCAACTGAGGCTGGCGATGCGAGTGGGCTTGGCAACACAACCAAGGCTGACAAGCAGTTGGGGTCACAGGGGTGTTGGGCTTGGCGACACAATCTGGTTGACAGTGTGACTTGGGCTGGCGACACAACCAGGGTTGGTGATGCAGTCAGGGCTGGTGAAGCAACTGGGATGGCAGCGCAACGGGCTTGGCAAGGCAACTGGGACTGCCGGCGCAACCAGGGCTAGTGACATCGCTGGGGGTGGTGGTGCAACCAGGGCAGCAACGCAGCTGCGACTGGTGATGCGGCCGAGGCTGGTGATGCAAATGGGGTTGGTAAAGCAACTGGGATGGCGAAGTGACAGGGACGGGCGGTACAACCGGGACCGGTGATGCTGCTGGGGAAGGCAATGCCACTGAGGTTGGCGATGCGAGCGGGCCTGCGGTGCAGCCGGGGCTGGCGATGCAGCCGGGGCTGGCGACG